GTTCATTTATAGTTTTATTTGTATTTTTTTCTACTTTTACTCCATCTCCCTCACATTTTCAAGAACCTATTTTTCAAGGAAATGGTTTTCTAAAAGATTGACTCTTTTATTCTGTAATCTGTACTGCCCTTGGGTTAAATGGGAATTTTCTAGGCTTCCCCCTTTCCCCACCAAAAGTAAAAAATATATTACTCCTTCTGATTGTTTTTGTAGATATACTTCGAAATGAATTATTCTGTCCAGGGTTCTCAAAGTTTAGAATTGGGGAACAAAATGTATAATCAAACTTTGGGAGCATAATCAAATTAGGGCTTTATGGCCACAAAAATTTGAAGGTTCTCCAAAGATTTTTAAAGGCTTGAAAAACACTGTTTTAGAAAAAGAATAAATTTAAAATTTCTATTATACAATTATTTATTTTTCCCCCAAATTCCTACCTTATTATTCCTTAAGTTCAATTAAATTAGATGAATTTATAGGCAGCTGGAATAGCTTTACCTCAACTGATAATGTTTAATATATGATTAAATTTCCAAAAATTCTTACAAGTAACATCTATGTTGTCTGCATTTTGTAAATTGAACCCTGTTTAGTCGTATTATTGGTGGCTGACTGTAGCCCCTCTGGTCATTTTTTAAATAAGGTGGTTTATTCTTGGGCAAAGGGCTCTTCATTTATAGAGAATCAATTATTTATCTCTTTATTTATGTTTTTTAGTGAATCTGTTGGTAATAGTTAAATCACTCTAATTATGTACTAGCACTATGGCATAATACTTTTCAACCAATTTCCTTTATAGTACGTGCTGTCTTAATATTATGTTAGAGGTTCTTTTAAGCTGCCATATAGTGTGAAAAGTTAGAAAGGTCTTTCCTACATACATTTTACTGAACAACTTTTAGAATTAAATTACCCAGGAATTTTACCTGGCATGAAAGGGACTTTATACATAATTAAATTTTTTAGAATAATTTCTCTGTTTGATGTTTAGTCCTGGGGTTATATTTGCTTTACGAAATGTATTGACTAGCTTCTCATTTTTTTCCTGTGTTTTAAATAGACTGTAACATGAAATATTCAAACTTGGCTAATTGAAAGAATTCATTAACAAATTTATTAGGGCTGATAATGTTATTGGAAGGATATTTCTTTGATAAAACATTGCTTTCTTTTTATGTTATTGATGGGTTTTACTTTCTGTCATGATGATTTTTATAGTTATATATTTTTGGAAATATGTTAACTTTATTCAGCTTTTCAAAATTATGTTGGTACACAGTTTTGCATAGTTATTTTTAACCTTCGAGAACCATGGATATATTCCTGATCTTATATGTAATCATGATTGTTTCAGTTGGAATCTTTCAGTGTACTTTTTTAATCACAAGATTTGGGTATATAGAAGGAAAGTTAATGTCTTAACTTTTCTTCTTTCAGAGGGAGACTGACCAATTTTAGACTATGAAGTTTTTGTAGTTGGAAAAACAGCACAGTAGTTTATCTCCCGACATTAGTATCTAGTTTTATAATAAGAATTAGCTTAAAAAATGCTATTGACAAACATAAAATGTCAACGAAACGTTGGCAGAAAACTCATAGACCTCCTAAGGGACCTCTCTGTTAACTCTGGTGTTTTCTGTGTGAAGCTGTGGTATCAAAAGTACTAGGACTCCTTGAGCATTCTGAACTCACCGTGTACTCCATCATCCCAACTCATACTTGCTATAATGGATCCTGAAGCTCATAAATTACCCCCTCTTGCCACCTCAATTTACAAGCATTTATGAGTTCAGCTTTAGGTAGTTATGCAGTGGCCTCATAAGAGAAAGCACAGGAATCAAGCCTAGAACCTCCAAGATTGGCCCTGGTAAGAACCACCTCGAGTGGAAAGTTGACTGAATAGCTGAGCTCTGAAACTTTGTCCCTAAGTTGTTTTACCTATTCTTTGAGAGGAACTGCTGCTGGTGTCACAGTGTGTGTGTGTGTTGTGAGTGAGTGGTACAAGATGCCATTCACCCTTAAAGAGTTAACCCAAGCATGGCAAATCAGCGCCCCCCTTTGTTTTTGTAACTGCCTGACAGTACAGCTGAGATAGCTGAGATGATAACAATAATTTTTTTTAATGTAGTCTTTATAATTTTTCTGGCATTGTTTCAGCCCTTTATAAATGATTTTTCTCATTTAATCCATTCAATAATCTCAGTGAGCTAGTTACTATCAATTTCTGTTTTACAGATGGGGAAGCTGAGTATAAGTAATACATCTATTGGTTACACCACTAGCAAATGACAGAGCAGGATTTACACCCACGTAGCCCAACTCCACTCTCTGTCCTCTTAAACACCGTGCTATCTTACCTTTTAATATAATTTACCAAGACTACAAGGATTCAAAAACAAATCCATTACGTGATTAATAGCTAGATAGTCTGGTTATGGCCTTGTTCTATTGACATTGTAATTTGGAAAAAAGATGGCTCATGTTAAGTTCTGTTTTAGCACCAGATCATGGATGCCGTCTTGGTATACATGTATGCATGATATACAGTGCCTGAAAGTCTACTTTTCTAAAAGACCAAATTCAACGGAAAGATAACTAGAGCAAACTGTGAAGTACCCTAGTCCATCTACCCAAAGCCTAGCTTCATAGTTTATTTCCTGATTGACAACTAAATTAGGTGAATGATCCTGACAATGACTTTCTTGTTCATGTATAAGAAGAGCAGCCTATAAAGAAATAACTTTAGGGGTCGGTCAGGTGGGGGGCGGCGGTAAACTCATAACTAATGGATGCAGTGTGCACTGTATGGGGGAGGGGCACGCCTGTAGCCCTGGCTTGGGTGAGGCAAAGTCATTACTTGTAACCAAAATGTTTGTACCCCCATAATATCCTGAAATTAAAAAAAAATAAAACGCTGAATTCAGCGAGGAAAAAAAAAAGAAATAGCTTTAGTT